GTCCATAGCCGGCTGATGTGGTTCTCCTTCTCGCAGATTGAGGATGACAATTGATGGTTCGCGTCCAGACTCTTGTACCTGGTACGATAGGCTTAATGAGTGCCACCAGATGTCCACCGTGAATGGTGGTGGGCGTTCTGGATTGACGGCAGTATAGATGCATCGCATAACTTGAACGACCTGGGGCAGCATAGGATGACCAGACGTCGGGTCATCAAAAATGATGCTGTTCCAACCAGCCATGTTGCAATTGAGGCTAATGCGGCTTTGAGAATAGAGAACTGCATCGGAGTTTTAATTAGCCTCCCCTGAAACTCAACGGTGCGCCATTATGTTGCCGCCCACGGGACGGGTTGGCTTGGCGTTTGAAATCTTCATCCATCACATGTCCTATAGCATGATAAGACTCGCGTCAAGGTTTGATGTTCTCCCGAGTCAATGAGAGATACTCATCAGGTTCAAATCATCTTCAATGGGCATGTCCACTTGTCGTGAATGAGATTCATCTCCAGGTCTTCGCAATGATCAAATAGAGCGCTGGTTTCCATATGTTCGAGTGCATTCGGTTTTCAAGTGTCGAATTTTTGGACTTCAAGAAGCATGTGCGTCGCGTGGACGACTCGGATCGATGAGGCCTCGAGGAATTTGGTTGGTGTCCAAATAGTCACGGTATCCATTACTTGTCGCGAAAGTCATGTGCATGACACGAGGCGGCCTTGGGCAACAATGCGGATGAAGCGCTTGGTTCCAACTTCCAACAACAAACTCCATGGAAAACCCGGTCTTGGAACAACTCGAAGGTCAAGTTCATCATGCATCTGAAACTGCTCACCTATTACCAGATGATATAGATAGGTGCTACGAAATCATATGCGCTACGAATCAGGGACTGGAGCAGGAGTTAGAGATAGCTGATTCCAGAGGACGCGAGGATTACGACAAGGACCTGGGACGATGGAAGGTAGAAGCACAGAAACTCGGTGATAGTGCGCTTCAGCCAAGAAAGTTCGCATTCATCGGAAGAACTGGAGTTGGCAAGATTACTGCTATTAATGCAATACTAGGTGCGCCCGTATTATCGACGGCAGCTGATGTGAGTGCATGATGTCATGGTTGTTGACCCTGTCGAGCATCAAACTAATTTGAATTGACAGGGGTCAGAAGCAAATTCCCCTTACCCATCTCGTTTCTGACACTTTCGTCATGCAGAGCATGTACATCCGTTCAGACGGAAGTGATCTACGAAAATTTGCCCCCATCAGAGTGGAGGGTGAGCGTCCAATTCATTGAGACGGATGACTGGGAAATTGTAAGTATTCACGATGTTCTATTGGAATACAGCGGTTCACGTGTATATCTGGTACACAGACTCTATTTAACATGCTAGATGACCTGTACGTATGATTTTTTCGAAAGATTTACTTCTGCAATACCATCAGCTTATCTTTGCGTGCAGAGAAGTATACTGTGACAGAGGCCCTTCGAATCACGGACGTGGTACCCACGATGATAGTGGGCCTGCAATGGAGGCATGGGAAACGTTGAAACAGGAAAGTCCTAGTTATTCTCTGGCACTATCACCTGGGTGCTGATGTTGCTGCCGGCACTACTGCACAGGTGTATCCTCAGTGAGCACTGACTTCATTCTGAATCTCGACCTTCACAGCTCAATTCTTGCCATAGCCTTCGTACCATATCATTCCCCCCGCCTGAACAAGATGTACATACACTTCTTGAGCATGAGGCTGTAGCGTCCAAGCTCGGAACTGAGATCTCTATATGTGGTGTAGGCTTCGACAAACTGGAAGTACAGGAAAGTTGTGATTAGGTATCACAGTTTAATACGTATCTGAACCATGCACAGCTTCGGCCGTATCTGACTTCATACTCAAACATTGCAGTGGAGGGGCCAGTGCGTCACAAATTTTAAATCGCAGATGACTGTGCTGACTATTCGAGGTTTTCTCGCCCAAGTCATCTGTCTGGCATCTAGTAGACAGGTAGAAATCTCTACAATAGATTGACCTACTTGCCTCACTTTTGTTGTAGGGTTCGTATCTATGGAGCATTTGAGGTACTTGCATCCCGTGCAGTTGCGCTCGTAGACGTCCCTGGCTTTGGGGATGCAAATAAAACGAGGTTCGATCAGCAGTGTAAACATTCTCAGGATTTCGTCACTCTGACAGCATGCTCATGGCAGAACAAATCGAACCGAGGAATACCTCAAAACCGCTGAGGTTGTTGTATTAGGTTTGCAGTTTCGGGCGAGCTCTCGTCTCGCGTTAATTATGTGTATCAGTTGCAGATATCAAGCGGGCAGTCGATGACCAGGTAAACTTGACAAAAATACCGGTATGACCTGACTGCTCAATTTTATTGTTAGGCCATGTGCGATTACCTTAAGAAGTTGTGAGTCTCGAAGAACCTTCCAAAACTTTGTGCACACGCATCAGTTGATTGTCATAGCCTGCGAACAATGATTAGGGTCGACGGAAGCATGGAGTCACTTTTAATAGTCCTTACTGGGGCAGATGTACGTCACCAGTCCTGTTTCTTTGACCTCACATTTATCATTTACCAGGTGCCAATTAACGAGGACCAATTACATCATCTCGATGCAAAGCAATGTAGTGTAATCCAGGAAATGTGTCAGGTGCATAAGCTAGTTCCAAGTTGAAACTGACGTGCCATTCAAACATACAGTAGGCTATCGACAGACTCGACGACAGCCTCAAAGAACTCGAGGATAGCAGCAAGAAATTCAATTATACTAATTCGGCCGCATTCAAAGAAATCATGGAGCATCAGCAGATGGTTTGTATTTATTCATGTCAAGATCATCAATCGGTTGACCGAATTTACAAAATTACACAGCAGCGTGACATAACCAGTAAGTTGCGAACCAAGCAGGCTGAAAAGAACACATACATCGCAGTGTGTATACCTGTTTGTTAGATTTATATCTGCTCATTTGCATCGCATCAGCACCAACGAGCTGCTCGTGTACGAGAGGTCTTTCTCCATCTCTATCGTCAAGTATACCACAACATCAGTAAACAGGTACTTCACTTAACTTTCGTAAGAGCATTGTAGTCAAGTCTTTCTTTTTCAGGATACCGCTAAAGAACCCCCTCCACTACCCGTTTTTTGTGTTGGGAGCACAGATTTCAACCAACTCTTGGGCGTGGGCAGACGCAACAGAGCTCCTTTGGTTTTTACCAACCCCGAAGATGTACCATATGTGTTGCTTTGACCAGACGAATATCCTGACTGATTTTTTTAGACTGGTATACCACAATTGTGTCGGCACATCCACGACTTTGGCCGCAAAAGAGCACTCTCCGACATCAAGGCCCATATAGATCAATGTACCTTGCTACGCGACGAAGTCAACAGTTTTTTCAAGCTTCTCTCCGCCAGGCACGATTCCATGTCAAAAACCCATGAAAAAGCAGCAAGAAGTGCATTGACAAAGTTTAAACGTGTGAGTAAGATGATATCACTCGATAGTAACATGAACTGAATAAGTGCGAAAGCTTGTCGAGGAGACATGCGAGGAATCAGGAGATAAAATCGACAAGAGCATCAAGGAGCTGGAGAACGCTCTTCGAGACGAAGCTGATAATGTCTACCTTGCAATCCTTGTATGCAGCGGTCAACACTGATTGAATATTGACTGCACAGGCCGCTGACTGCAGTCTCGACATCATTAAGTCGCTTGGAGATGACTGCAAATATCAGACATACCGTGCTGTCATGCGCAGAGAGGGCGAATGGCAATCGATCGATCTAAATGAGGACCTCGTATGCGACATGTTGGAAGGGAGTGTTTCAAGGTTCGTCATTTTGTAACAGTAGATTCGTTGATCTGAACAATCAGAGAAGTATATGGCATGAATTGTTCAATGATTCCTGGAAATCAGAACTGGAGTTGCTCATCCATGTAAGGATCATCGTTCGCCATACTGTATCGTGTATTCACTCCGCTTCAGTCAATTTTGGGTCACTATCGTGCAGCGATAGGCTCTATCAGTATGTACTCATGGACTAACTGCCGGTGAAACGATGTTGATCTTGATTGCTGTACAGAGGACGGAGAGAAACAAAACGTAAAACCAAAGATTGCAACACGCGTTCAAGATGCCATTAAGGCAGAAGACATCTTGGGTACCGCAAAACAGCGCTATTTATTTGCCATTTCGATGATGCAAAGGTAAGGCCTCTTTGTCACCATTCACCGATTTTACATATCATTATTTCGCTATAGAGAATTTGGTGGATCCTTCAAAGGATTCATTCGTAACGAGCTTCAAGCTCATTATGCTCTCGTTGGAAGTGAGTGTGGTAAAGGAATGTTTCAACGAATGAAGGTGAGCACAATCATCCTAACTCGTGACAATTACTGAGGTTATTGTCTTGCATTAGGATCTGAATGAGGAGGAATTTCGTACGGACAATGCGCAAAAACTATATTCTGGCCTTGTCGATGATGTTATGTTGGCTATTCGCTCCGCCAAAAATGCAGGGGACAGGGCGCTCGAGGAAACAATTCCTCGACTATGTGCTCACATCGAGCGCAGGTTTGTCTGTAAGTTGCTTTCTACTCTCAGTCTAAACAAACATCGACTGACATTCACATCAGTCATTCGGAAAAGCGATAAAATGAGCAAAGATACACGGAAGAAGATGCTGACATTCCTCGATGAACAGTACATCAAATCTCTGGCGGAGGTCACACTCATCACGGATAGGTACGAAGAGCGCGATACGATGCCGATGGAGTAATGCGCCGATGTACGGAGATTGGTTGTATTTCTCAAGACTCGGAAATATTCCTTATGTACTTTACAGTTACTTGAGCTTGGGACATGTGTATGCACGTTCTCGGAATAACACTAGTCTGGTGCGATAACGGACCCGCGTCAATGTCCCACGCGGAGGGCAAGATACACTTGTCAGTCTCACTGCCCACACCGAACGTGAAAAGGCCTTCAGAACGGTTTTCGAGACAAAGTGTTACATAGCAAAGTGTTCCTACATAAATTCGAAAACATATTAACGCACTCTTCGTGATCCAGGTACTAATCTAGCTGAACGTACGTCGTCAACGACCGATTTTGAAGCTATCTAAGCTACCTTAGCTACAGCCTACAGGGTAGAATACAATATCGTACATATCAGTTAACTTCAAACATATGGACGTATAGATAGCAATATGGAAGAACGAAGTTTTGGACAAGGAAGCGTTTCGAACTTAAAGGATGACGTATGGAACTAATAAAATGCAGATATGACTTGTGCGGTACTTAGTACATCGGACACAGATCCGGGTTCCGTTTGCAGTCTAGGTACTTATGCTGGTCCATTTAGAAAGCGGTAGATGGCATGGGCTGAAAAAGCAATGGCAATGGCGTGACCCAGGGCTCCGGCATACGGAAAGAGCTCTGCGAGTGCGAGGGCAGGTGAGAATGTGAGGTTGAATGAGAATGTGAGGAGGGGTGAAGATGCGAGGGCGGGTGAGAATGCGAGGTCAGGTGAGAGATGGTATGCGATGATTGTGATGAGGAAAATGTCAATGGCATGGGTGAAAAGGTCTGATGCCGTGCAGAGGTCGTCGATGACCGGCGCGTACGCTCCCCCATAAATGCGGGAGGCGAAACGCTGTGGGACGACATGTAAAGAGAATGCAACGAGGACGCCGACGCCGGCTGTGAGAACGAGTGTGGGGCTAAGCTGCTTGACATCGTATGCAACGAGGAGAGTGCAGCAGGAGAGCATGTGGTTGATGCCACAGGAGGCGACTGCGCGGCTGATTGGGTCAGCGCCATGTGGGATGACTCCTCTGGCAAAGTGTCAGATAACTTTTGCAGATGGTACACCGCGTCGTGGATACGGTTTCGTAGTTCCTGCGCTTGCTGGGGTTTGTAGGTGTTGTAGCCCATGGGCCAGCATAGGGTCTTGATCCACGTCTCCATGATGTGGGGCGTCCACTGGACACCATTAAGTTTCGTGCCGTGACGCAACATGGCTACAATATCAGTAGGATCTTCTTTCTTGTAGCGTACGAGCTTGAGAGCAACACCCCAAAACATGGTAACGCTAATGACAACGAGACCTGGCGAGTTGTAGACGGTGTTCATATCAATGTTGTTCGCCTGCTTGGAGTCGTGGTAGATGGGGTCATATAACTGCCCTTGTGTGCTGAAGGAAGAGCGTGAGATGTGTGGAGGGAAACTGCGGGGCGACTCACTTGTGGGCGAATGGGAGGGCAATGTCAGGGTCTGCATTCATCCAGTCGGTGCTGTGAGGTGTATGCATCGATAAATGCCTTGTGAGATACGGAGAAGGATTCACAAACCCAATGCGAAACTTGATGGCAACAGCGTTAATACAACGCTGTAAGCGCTCTTCAGCGTCATAGACTCCTCGCTTCCGCCACTCATGCCCGAATGCCCGGCGTATATAGTCAATATCTCTCGTAGTTCGTCGACAACTGTTTGTGGAGAGGTTTGGGTGTAGAATCATCACTGCGCCACCATGGATGAATAGGCGGATTTGGCAACCGAACTCTTGTAAGACGAGTAAGGAGAGTTCGCCGAGGAGGGTGAGGAGGAACTCTCTTGAGAGCTGAACCTCATTGTGTGACGACGAGGATGTCATGAGTGTATGCTCTACGGAGTGAACGGAGCCTCGTGTGTCACCAGAAACTTGAAAAGGGATGGATGGATCCGCTTTGAACACTAAGCAATCCTTTTGTTAACGCATCGGTCATGGTCCGCTTTGGAACGGACGCTTACCTTCGCAACTCTGTGTGGCCTACACTGCCAGAAATTTGGTTTCGGTTGAGTTCGGCAGCTGTGCGAAGCTCTGGAAATTACTTGCCTACACGCCTTTGCCTCGTGTGAGTCCCACACGATATCGCCGAAAGTCAATGCCAGGGACTAAGGGGTGCCTCGGGGGCAGTGCTAGTAAGCTGGCCGTCGGAGTTGAGCTGGGCTAAATTCAACGAGGTTGTCCACGCTGATTCAGTAGCACGAATCGATGAACGTTGTTGGAACCAGACTGGTTAACGTTGGCTTCAAATCGCTCAAGTAGCTCTTTAGGAAGAGACAAAGGGACAGATCATCCGAGTCTATATATGCCCATTGCATAACGTGGACCAAATCGGGTAACACAATGGGGTACAACTTCCATATACTTAGTCACGGGTGAGTTGGCAGTGGATAGCATCTTGATTTTTAACTTGTTTCATCAAGTTTCCGGCATTCCGCGTTGTCACACCATACTGCTGTAGTAGCATGGCAAGCAGTTCCCTTGATTCCACAGCATCAAGTCCAGGTTCTATCAGAGCAATCGACAGTCACTCTGTGCATAGGATCACCTCTGGTCAGGTAGTCGTCGACCTTCAGACAGCAGTGAAAGAACTTGTCGAAAATAGTCTTGATGCCCGTGCTACAAATATCGGTACGTCACATCCTCAATTGACGCCTGTGTACGCAATTGACGTCTAGAAGAGGTCCGGTTTTCTAACTACGGGCTCAAGTCTATCGAAGTTATCGACAATGGATGCGGCATAGCCCCAAAAGATTATGAAAGTGTCGGTAAGCCTCGTCCTTTTGGTATCTATGTTGTCACTTCATTGCCGCTCAGCCTTGAAACACCACACATCCAAACTTACTGCCTTTGAGGACCTCTCAACTGTCTTGACCTTTGGTTTTCGCGGAGAAGCCTTGTCCTCGCTGTGCGCTTTGAGTGATAGTGTCACCCTCACGACTGCCACTGCTAATGAGGCTCCGATGGGTACCATACTTGAAATAGATCGGAACGGTAGACTTAGGAATTCCAATTCCAAGGTCGCAAGACAGGTATGTAGGACTTTCCTACATCTTTCCTAGCATAATGGTGGCATGTGCAGCGAGGAACTACAGTTGTTGTATCCTCTCTTTTCAAACCCTTGCCAGTGCGACGTAAGGAGCTTGAAAGAAACGCGAAGAGGGAGTTTGGTAAGGCGTTAAACTTGCTGTATGCATACGCGCTGGTTCCGTGCGCAAACGAGAATAGAGGTGTGCGGCTGGCTGTGAGCAATCAGCTTGAAGGAGGGTACGTCATCTGCTTCCTTGTGCCCGTAGAAACGCTCAACGCTCTACCAGCCGCAAAACTGTACAGCTCAAAACTGATGGGTCACCCTCCATCAAAGCGTCGGTTACAGCATTGTGGGGGTCAAAGGGGCTTGACAACATTGTTGACCTTGATTTCTCGTTTGATGTCCTAACGGAGAAAACTGTCCTACGGCGTCTTGACCAGGAGAGGTGGTTCCTTTTATCTCTTTTCAGCAACCAGTGGTGCTGAATACAGCTTCTTTCAGTGCCAGCGTTACCACAGTGAAAGTTCGTGGGCTCATCTCCAAATTTGCTGTAGGCGTAGGCCGCACAGGAAGTGACCGGCAATTTTTTTTCGTTAATGGGCGCCCTTATAACCCTGGAAAGGTAGTCAAACTGCTGTCACTGATATCTACATCTGATTGAGAACATTCCCAGATCCAGAAGGCATTCAATGAGGTATATAGATCATTTAACGTTGGCCAGTCTCCCTTTATCATAGCCGACTTCATTTTACCCACTCGTGAGTCCTTCGCTCCGGCGATACAGCTCATCTTTACTTGAAGGCAGATGCCTGCGACGTCAACGTCAGTCCCGATAAACGAACAATCTTTCTCCACAGCGAGCAGAATCTAATTCAAGCTTTGAAGGTACACAGGAGGTTCATCTTCATCTCTACATTTATTTTCTCATTATTGTCAAAGGCAGCTTTGGAAGAGGCTTTTGCTTCGTCTCGCTCGACGTTTGATGTCGGTGCTCAATCATTACAGCAACCGACACTGCACCCATTATTTACGCCAAAAACTTCGCTCACTCAAACAAAACACACGAGGGCCACTAGTCATTCTGCCGGTATGGCCGACATCAACCCACGATCAGAGAAAGACCAACCAGCTGAAAGGGGCCGTGAAGATGAGCCCATCACGATGGGCGCCCCCCACCTACTTCTTGAACCCGAGCCGGAGCGGCCATCACAGAGCGAAACAGACCGGACAGCAACGGTAGCACCCTCTGCACAATCCGACAAGACCGGGCCGGCACAGCCATTGTTTTTTCCTGATCCCGATGTTCAGGAGGGCGGAGACAACGGACAAGCTACTCGTTTGGCCGATCATCACGGATCCGATCAAGAAGATGAGACTACCCGCCAGCAAGTTGTTAGCGCCATTGATCGTATACGTGCGTCACGGGAGCTCGACGAAACAAGAAAACGGTCCGCGAGCCAAGCACCATCGGCACAGACGATTTTAAGCACCAAGGGCGCTTCGTGGAACCGTGGACGGTCTGGGGGCGATGATATTCAAGACGATGGTCCCAGAAAGAGACTGCGTTTGGCCGAACGGGATGGGAGGGCAAGTTTTAGGTTTACATTGAGTCAGTATGCGAGGGCTGGAAGCAAGGTAGCCGAGACTTCTGGAGATCGGACTGAAGAGCGTCTTCACACAGTAGGCATGAATGCTCGACGGAGTATATCCGAGGAGACCGATGGTGCTGAAGAGCAAGACCAGTTGATGGAAGACGAAGAAGTGGTGAACATAACTTCGAAGACTCGACCGAGACGGATCTCGGGCCTTACTAGCAGGGGGTCCGAGGAGACTGCTGTTTTACTCGACGATGCCATGGTTGTTGAGGATTCGGGACCCGCCCGCCACCTCCCTCTGGTACTTGAGGAACACCCAGCCCCGGAACCGGACTCTGATGTAACAGATCAAGATATTTCTGACGTCATTGACCTCACAGAAGGTGACACCAGTATGACTCTAGTGGACACCGAGGTGAACGTACCAACTACTCATTCTCCAAAGGATCATCTCCCGCCGGTAACCTTACGCTGTGATCTCAATAAGATCCGCCATACATGGTTGCATCTTGAGCGGGCTACACCCACTCTTTCGAGGCTCTCCAGTACAGCTTCCCGAATTCGCGATGCATTGGACACGGCCAACGTGGAAAACGTGGAGGATGACGCCAAGGCTTCTGCTGCTCTTTCCCGGATCATATCAAAGACGGACTTCAACAAGATGCAGGTGGTCGGTCAGTTTAACTTGGGCTTTATTGTCATTCGGTGGCAGAAATATGAGGAAGGGCTAGACGACTTGTTTGTGATTGATCAGCATGCAGCGGATGAGAAGTATAACTTTGAGACGCTCCAACAAACAACTATTATTGAATCTCAGAGGCTATTTAGGTGGGTGTTGTGCACTGGCACAATGGAACAACTGACTGAGGCACGGTAAAGACCCGAGCCTCTGGAGTTGACAGCTGCAGATGAGATTCTGGCAGTAGAAAACATCGACGTTCTGAAGCGGAATGGTTTTGAAGTTACCCGTCAGGGCGGTCACGACGACGAGGGCAGGCTGCATCTTATAGCACAGCCAGTGAGCAAGGACACAGTTTTCGATATGAAAGGTATGACACGATCTCGTGAATCAATAAAGGGTCTACACTAATGATCATGTGCAGATCTCGAGGAGCTTATCCATCTCATGCATGACCGTCCCGTGGGAACAATGGTAAGGTGTTCAAAGGCGCGAGCCATGTTTGCCATGCGGGCGTGTCGCAAAAGCGTCATGATAGGAAAAGCATTGAGTATGAACGGGATGACTTCGGTATGCCATGTAACACAATTTAAAAGAATCGCTTTAACCTGGACTATATCGCAGATCGTGCAGCACATGAGCACTATGGATCAGCCGTGGAACTGTCCACATGGACGACCGACGATGCGTCATGTGTCAGACCTGACCTGCTTTGCAAGGTATCATCCATTCCCGCGCACAATCGACTGGATTACGTTCGGACCTGGCCCATAGCTTGCCACCTTCAATGTTCCTAGTTTGGGATCTCTCTCAAGCTCAAGTTTGGATACCCCATCACTACCACTATCATGAATCTGACTGTTACATGCGGATCTAAACATGTATCTTTGGCGAAGGGTTGTATGTATAGTACGTGCGAAGAGTCGTATCGTATATATAGTACGTGTGAATACTCGTGCTTTGATTGTATCGATGTTGCACTTGCAATTCTCAACATCTTATCTGCTGAACTGTAACCACCATGTCGATTCATTCCGTGAGACGTGAGTGTGCTAACCTCGCTTGGGACAATAGGTATTCAATACTATCTCGACTTGTTGCACAAACGCTGACCCACATCTCGCACAGCATTCCTCCTGCACTGCATGTTAAATCAGGCGATGAAATCACCTTTGATTGCGCTGACGCATCGAATGGACAGCTGACTGCAGACTCGACAGTCGTAACTCTAGAAAAGTTAACCTTGGCAGGGTTTAATCCAGTGAACGGTCCCGTATTTGTGGATGGTGCACAGCCTGGTGACACACTCCAAGTTGACGTTCTGCGCATCGAGAATCCCGAATGGGGATGGACGGGGCTATTCCCGGGATTCGGACTTCTTGCGGATGAGTTCCCAGAACCGGCGCTCAAGATCTGGAAACTTGAGCAGGAGGGGTTTGCGTGGTTTGATGAGAAAAAGGGTATAAAGGTACCCCTGAGGCCGTTTGCCGGGGAGATGGGGGTCGCGCAGAAGAAGAAGGGTGCATTTTCCGTTGTTCCGCCATATCATACGGGAGGTAACATCGACACGAAGCATATTACGGTGGGTTCGACCCTGTTTCTTCCAGTTGAAGTGGAGGGAGCACTGTTTAGCATCGGGGTGAGTACTCGTTTGTAAATATTGACAAGATGATTTGCTTACAAAATTGTTATCGTGTCATATCTAGGATGGTCATGCTGCACAGGGGGACGGAGGTGCGTGCCGAAGCCGGCGGCGCCCTGTACAAAACTGATCCGGGGTTAAATTGTATTACGTCAACAGAAGTATGCGGTATGTCAGATCGGCCTTGAACACACACCCGATCAGAAATTTGACCTCGATCTACATGGCGATAGGATCGGCAATCGAGACACCCATGAAAGTCACGGTGCGGCTCTCAGTAAGGAAAGACAAGCCGTACACCAAAACACCACATTTTAGCACGGCTACTGCTGATACCCCGTCCGGGGAATATTACTGCACTACCGGCATCGACTCGGGTATGAAAACATACTGAAATGAGATGATTGATACTGACGCGCGGCTTTATGTTTTTTTCCGCTCAGATGTTAGGGAAGCGATGAGATCAGCTGTGAGGAATATGATTGATTTTCTGGTTGCGGAATATGGGTTGGATAGGGTAGGAGCGTATATATTGTGCAGCGTCGCAGGAGATTTGAGGATGCATGAAGTGGTATGTGGGCGTGCTGGTCTTCGGGTTGAGATACTAACCACAATTGTCAGGTGGACATGCCAAACTATGTGGTAATGTGATGTTATGTCAGCCTTGTGACAACGCTGACTCGACTGGCCAATCGTTCTTCCACAGATTGGGATGATGATGCCTAAGTCTGTGCTCGGACCGTCAAATGAAGTGTGAAGAGTGCACGTTCTCATATAACGAGCTGCCGATGAATTCTTCCTTCGTCACATGTACCGAGCGATACTTGATATATGGAACGTGTCGAGGAAACCAATGCACGTTATCAATTTACCACGTAAACAGATAATTTGAACCTGACAGCGTTAATGCGGCTCAATGTAATAGGCTTGAATCAACACTGCACAGGTATGACTCACCGGTAGAACAATAGCGCCAATATGTTCATTGTCGGGCAACGTTGTATCAAGGGCACGGATCAACTTACTAGACACCACCAAGGGTTTGTCACGTTCGGCAGCCGCAGAGTAAGAATAGTGTCTCAGAGCATTGTATCCCTCTGACAGTACTTGATCGGTGTCGTGATGATGTATGACCTTGGAGGATCGAATCATGGTGCTGGAAGCATGCACTATGACTGTTGAATAGCCCGCATGATCAAGACTCGGAGTTGTACGAGTTTGCTGACCATGATGTAGTGTACTGAGCAATTTGTGATTATTCATTCAGGTATAAATTAGGTAGTTGGCGTATCATTATTTCCCCATTTGGTGCAGCTCCGAGAAGATGTCGGACTCTCGAAAAGGAAAGATCTGGATTAGATCTTGGCAGGGCCCAAATCGTCTTTGGATTTAATGGGCTAGCGCTTGCCAGCCCGGTACTACTCAACAGCACCGCTTCGCTCTTTCTTCATTCTCTTCTTCCATGGCTCAAACGAAATCGCATTCTCGGTCCTCTCTTGATATGTTCTCTCCAGTCAACCTGAAGCCTGTACAAGACGATGCCTGGTCAAACATATTCAAACCACCTCCCAACGAGTCCGTCGAGGAGAGACGAGACCGCATTGCCCGCCAGCAAGAGGCTCAGCGAGTTTCTCGGGAAATAGATGAAAGTATTCTGGAGTCTAAGAAGTTGTTCGACAAGAAGAAGAAGGCTATCAAGGTCCTACTATTAGGTATGCGTATCTCGATAGTTCTCTTCAGATAGCAGCGCTAACATCGACATCATCGTCATTAGGACAGGCCGAGTCCGGGAAATCAACAATGTTACGAAGTAAGTATAAAGTTGTATCTCAGTTGAGTCTTTGAATCTGACGTGTCACTACAGATTTCCAGCTCGCATTTTGTCCGACCTACTTCCATGGCGAAGCACTCATATGGAAGACCATCATACAACTTAATCTCATTGGGTACGTAGCCTCATTTCCTAAGCTACTTCTTGTATCTCATACTAGGAAACATTAGCTCTGTGAAAAAACTTCTCTCAATCGTCGAGGATGAACTAGAAATGTCAGGCCCACGTTCTCGGTCCCCTACCGGATCTACATCATCATCACTTTCAGATCACCACCGACGTACACGAATGCGACTTCTTCCCCTGTTGTCAATGGAGACAAATCTCACGCGACAACTGCTCCCTGAACACTACGACCCCTCAAGAACGCCCGAGATCTGCGTGCGAGCTGGTAGCGGATGGAAGACCGTTTTGGAGAGAGTCACATTGGAACGACGGGTCCCTCTCACCGGTCAGCGTCGACCAATGACGAATGATGGGCGAAGCAAGGATGATCCGACTTTGGTACTTGCTGCGTCCAAGAATGATATCATTTCATTATGGGAGGACGAGAGCGTTCGGGAAGTACTCAAGCGACGTGGAGTTCGACTGGAAGACTCTCCTGGTTTTTTTCTGACTGACACGGCAAGAATTGCAACGGTGGACTATGAGCCTACGGAAGGTTTGTTACACCCCTGATAATTTTTCCTGTTCCTTGCCCTGATATACTGTCACAGAGGATATCGTCCGTGCTAGATTACGAACATTTGGTGTGGAGGAACATCGCTTCCTTCAAGATAATGGTGTGTAACCCTACTCTTTCCTTTCGTAGTCACCCTGACCCGTGTAAACAGGTTCAGAGTGGTACATTTACGATGTTGGTGGTAGTAGATGTATGCGACCCCAGTGGGTGCCCTACTTTGATGACGGTAAGCTTTGACGACATCTGAAGGCGTGGTTATTAACATCGCTTGTAGTTCAAGCTATTATTTTCCTTGCACCCCTGTCATTCAACCAAGTTCTCGAAGAAGACCGACAGGTCAACCGACTTGAAGACTCAATATACCTCTGGAAAGAAGTTTGCGCGAATCCCCTCCTCGCGCGTGCGAACATCATCCTATTCCTCAACAAAATGGACATTCTACAAAAAACTCTCGCAGCGGGGATCAAAGTAGCAACATACGTGCCGAGCTATGGAAGCACGCCTAACGACGTGGAAAACGTGACGAAATACTTTAAGGAGAAATTCCGAGCTTATCACGTAGGTCGCGTCTTAGGTTTTGATATGAAATAAACCCTGATTGGGACTTCATAGAAACGATTGTCCCCGAGACCTCGGACGTTCTTTTGTCATGAGACCTCTGCCATTGTGCGTTACCTTTTTGGCAGTATGTCCTTGTCCCAGGCTCACACCGGTTTGTACAGGATACGAAAGCAACGCAGGCTGTATTGGCCGGAGTCCGTGATGGCATTTTGCGCCATCATCTTGAGGAACTCAATGTCATCTAATTTTTATTTGTACCCACGCCCCCTTATACACGCCTTATTCCTTATCGTCCGTGTTGTGATTGTGCTGTGTTGTCATCTAGGCAGATTATATTATCATTTATATCTACCACCCTATCTTGTTTTCCGTCTTTTCTAACTTAATCTCTGTTATTACTGGGTAATTATAATATCACGACATAGATAAACCCTTGTGGTGGAAAGAACTGCAGATTCGCACAAATTTATTTTATGGGAGTTCCGACCTCCGTCTGCCTGGCGGAAAAGAGGAGAGAGGGCGGTCAGCCAGCGTGCCCACGCATGTTCGCTTGCATAACAGCGATGGTAAGTGATGCGAGGCACGAAAAAAAGATTAGACTCATTGAAGTAATATATTCGGGTGAGTGGACAAGTTGATAACGGCGTCAGCACTCCTTACCCTCCCCCGCCGACAACAACTGTTCGATGCGATTACTGCTTCGTCAAGTTCCTTCTTTTCTACGACCGCTGTTGCAGCGCTATCGCCAGTACTAGTGTCAATCGCAGGGATCCTTTTCAGAGCGACAAGCTGAAGCGCATCGTCATAGCGCTCTGCATGGTAGGGCAGGTTGATTAACAGGACATAGAGTATCTTCCATACTCTGCAGAATACTAGATTCATCTTGAATAGCATGCTTGACTTTCCACTCTTTCTTGGGGCATGTGGCTTTTAAGTGGGGGTATATCGGTTTGATTAATTATGAGTTCGCTAATGCCAGGGAATGGAAACTTACCATGTTCCGCTAGACACATTCCGCCATGTTGACATGATGGGGAAGTTGCCAATGCGTGAGTGATTACGCCCTGCCATGTTGACATGATGGAGAAGTTGCCAATGAGCGAGTGATTACGCCCTTCCAATGCCGACAAGTGGGAAACCTTAATTTCGCCGAAACCACGATGCGCAGTGCGCGCTGAAAACCGACTAAGGTACCTGAAAACTGATCTGGGACGCCACAGGTACATAGCTTTTGATTGTAGGTAGCCATGGTGTGATGCTCGACAGCTTGAACGTTTTGCCAGTAGGTCCAGGGACAGTGAATGTAAATCTGTTGACGTTGATACCACCGCCAATCTCATCCAGTAACGGGATTGTGCTGTGAGCGCAGGACAATATTGTTGCGACCGCGAGAGAAAAGAGAGCGAAAAAGGCAAGATTTGTGATGTATAAGAGTCACATCTTAAATCTGCGGAGAAACACAGGAAAAGATGTCATCCTCACTACTGGTATGGCATAGTATGGCATTGGCAGGTACTTCGCAGATGGCCGGTCGTACGACTCGAACTCATAATGCTGTAAAAGATAGGCAAGTTATTTCGCTTAACAACTTTCAAGAGGTACCAATACGTACACGAATTGACGTCCAAGGAGGTTATAGCGGTATTTTTGTGGGCTTAAGGGCAGGATTGTATCTTGAAAGTCACAAGGGCTGCCATACTGACGATGAGGTTGATTTCAAATCTGCGTGCAGCGATTGTTGCTCAACTCCGGCTGAGTGCGCCTGTCCTTCCTCGTTGCCTTTCGGGTCCGCGGGAGGTAGCGTAGTGTCCAAGACCTCAAGGCCGTTTTGCTGTCCAAGGATGCCAAAGTGACGAGTGTGGTATAGTCTTGCTCCAAGTACTACCTACTTCTAGTAAGCTGTGAGAGGGTTCCCACGCGCCAAGGACTCCCAAAAATATGACTCAGCGCCACCCATCAACCCGGCACCAGTGACCACAACAAATTCTATACCACGCTCGAAACATTAGAATCTTATCCTCGGAGAGGTGCTTGTCGTACGTAGACCATACAACGAGGATGAACCATGTAGTAAGTACGTCGCAAACTTCTGTGGGTCTCCATTGACTCTAATGGTGGTCCGACTCCACTTTCAGTCCAGTAGGCATCAAATTTTTGGATATGTTGGTTGTTTCAAGTTTGTGCATCCTAATCATATCGCATAGCTATCCTGATGCATCTATTGTATCAGAAAACCTATTACATCTTTTCGCTATGCAATCCGAGTCTGTTCTAACTTCTGGCTCAGTATGTCTGTCCATTTATTCAACCTGTTTTGTTGTACACCACCTAACTCATAGTTAGTAAGTCGCAAGTCCAAACAATTATTTCTTCCTACCGTTCAACATTATCTGTCTCGATCAATTTCTAACAGGCTAAAAAAGAGGGTGATTTGAACGAAAAATAAGTGCTTGGGTCTGGTTGTTGTATGACGATGTCATTGTGTTGCATTGCGCAGTCGCACCATATGAAGGTGAGAGGGTCCAGACATTCAATATTCATGGATCGACATAGAGCCTGAGTTCATATTTCTGAAGCGTTCGAAACATGATGTTGAATTAATGAAGGAGTAATATGGTAAGATACTTGTGCCGCGTCAATATAATATGTCAATGCTTATGGTGATTGAATCCCAGGGAAGCTCATCATAAGTAATTCATGTAAAGCCACTGTAACGAGACGGACTGCAAGGGAACCAAGGCCAGACCTCTATAGCGGGAGGCTACGGCTCTATCTATCCAGGACCGACTACGAGCCAGGACTCCTGCTCCTGCGCCAGGACACCTGCCACTCCCGACCTGATCTGTCCTGCCAGAGCGCCCCGCTCCACCACACGATGACAGGAAGAATAGGGAACGTAGTCGTGATTGATGTAAGCCAACTGGAGCTGTGGTGTTTTTAATGCCAAAGACTAAAGCTACGAATAAGATTGACCAAGTTTGACACGTAACACTGCGTCGATGTGCGTCACGTCCGCGGCAGGACCGCGTCAAGATAGCTACGTCCCTCCGAGTCATACTGGTAATGATCCATGGTCCGAGGTTGGTTACAGTTGAACTGGGGTCCTTACTAGTGTTAAATTATTCGTCTCCTGCTTCTTCAACTAACCAATTGATTACAAGCCAGTTTAGTGGAATAGCCTGAGTATGTCCACTTTCTTCAGGCTTCCTCACTTGCCCAACAGCTGTCGTATCGATGCAATAAGGGGATTGTGTATCGACCACTCAGTTGGTCACAACTTCCACCAAAATACGTGGAGCATCTACTTTGTAACGCTAGAGAAAGTGCAGAAATTTGCAGCAGATTCCGACCGAGTTTCCACCTCAAGATATGCATTTTTCCACAGATAAATTTTGTTCCACCTAAATTAACCGTCAATTGTAGCGTGATGATCTCATTTTCTTATACCGGTACGATCTGTATACAAAGTTGCCATCACAGACGTGCGCCTAGCTCTTTCGTCGCTAAAACAATGATTAATCCAGGAATTGCTAGTGGTAATGACAACAAGATGTACGTGACACATCCATCTTGCATAGTATACATTCATCCATCTCAACATTGCACAATTTGCATCGCTTACTGCCATATGAATCGCAAGTCTTGTAGGTAGGCAGGCACAGTTCATCGATGCACATCTGCTTAGTGCCTCACCACAGCTCATTGAGACTGATACTCTATCTCGGTCGCGGTCGCTTTACAACCACGGTCTTATCGCGTCGCCCAAAGTCTGTTTTCAGTCATGATACACGGGGGCTCATCGTCCTTTGCTCAGATTTTTCCACGCATTACAAGTATCAGAATCCTGGCTTGTGGCGGTTTTCTATCCTGTGCGTGTGCTAAATGATGTATTATAAAAAAAGGTTGACCCGTGTTTCCCACTTTCATTGTATGTTGGTGTAGGTATGCTCCGATGACTAGTTCTCGGACTCAAGGCAAGGCTTTGTATCTCCACTGGTATCTCCATCAACACCCATTGCTTCCAGACAGTTGTGGCATAGCGCTTCATAACGCCACAGGCGATGCATTGCTCATATTCAGGCACCAGGATTGCAGAAGAACGTGCCCAGGAATGCCATATCATCTATATGCAACGAGTTTGTCAATATCGCTGACATATGGGCGCTTCGGAACATAACCAAGAAACGAGACATCCCAAAATGCACGCGTGAAGATCATTCATACTAGCCATGCATTGTGTACTAGTAAGAGCATCAAGATGAGTCTACCGTAGTACTAATTAAATTCTGCACTATGAACCCATTCAACCCAGGGCCAGATGGCGATTCAAATTCAATCTTCAAAAGCATCCCGACCGCTTGGCACGTCCCATCGACCCCATCAACTCCCATCAATATGATGCCCGCTTACACGTGTCTATCCAGTGTACGTCACGATTTTCTGATTAGTCGAACCCGCGCAACGCCGTGGTTCGTTTGGTCAAGATAAACGCTTAAAGTCCAAATGCTAACTAGACTGGTACCAGTTGGTACGTTATATGTCTAACTATCAACGCCACTCGCATACTCATTCGTTTGACAGCTACCTTCAAATCGATAGGCCAGAATTCATTTTTATTCATTCACCGCTTTTATTTAGTTGTGGAGCTGGCCAAGCAAAAGGGTCCTGCCTTAGGCTGCCTATTACGATACTTCGTCGGGGCGAGATACCCCAGAATGGCACTGGACTGCGCAGCTTTCTAATTCGACATTGTCTTTGGACACCATTCTCAGTATGGTTGGAAACCACCGTCACATTCCAGCAGCCATGAAGCAACAATGGGTCACTATGTCTGCCCAAATGTCATCCAAGGCCATAGTACAAGTCACTAGTAACAGAGTTCTTCGGCTCTCGTCTCACTGTCAGAATACAGCTATGTACAATAATTGTTACTTGACATCTACTGTACAGCTAGTGTTAGACATTAGTATTGATACTCACTGATGCTCCTTCAAATTTCGACGCTCTGCTCCCTTGCTTTGCCTTTCCTTGCCCGCCGAATCAGTCGATATTGCACAGTCCGCCGGGTACCATTCTGGGGAATCTCACCCGACAAAGTATCGTAATATGCGAGTCCCTGTTGTTTGGCCAGCTTGTAACGCTCGTCAAAAGCCGTCGACGATACGTCGACGGTAGCAACCGAATATTAGACTTTATCATTCTCTCTAGTTACTCATTTAGTTTCATTCTCCTTTAGTCCCTGACTTTCTTACCCTTCAGTATATAAGCCATCGCGTATTTACTTGTAGGGTAGTTGATTTTCATCCCCCCCCCCCCCTTGAATAACATTTAGTTAGGACAGTTATCCTGTTCGAACCTTAAGACAATTCAAACCAATCGACTCTTTCTCGTGTGAACGTTCACTGAACGCCACATATTTTTAACTGCCTTCAAATCTAAAATCTATTCCGCTATAGTCGTTGTCTAAGAGGCTTGATCACCCTCCAAAACTTCGACTCTTGTTAACACACAAAAACTCTCCCCCACCCCAACGATATCGTCAAGAAAAGGAAATGCCTACTAGTGCACTAGAAATTGCCTCCCCACGTTCCTCGAGGAACGTGAGCGTTGATGGCCGCGCCCACGAGCAAGACGGCGCGAGGTCTCGAAACAGTAACCCTGTTTCTGGAGACGATGGGAATGACAGCCCAATGGCTGAGCTTCCCTCCAGGTTCGGTCCACGCGACCTGAACGAGGTGGACACTGAGTCCACCCAGGCGAAGGACGCTGTGAGCAGCCCCGCCCAGAGCAGAGCCCCGTTGCTGGTCAACGCAGGAGCCGCCACCATCCGTACCACACATAGTGACGAGGGTCCTGTAGCACCAGTCAGCGAGATACCTCCTGGTGGCCCTATAATTGGGCGATTACGTACCTTCACGTCGCCCGATAGTGATAATGTACCACGCCTGCAAGCCGTCTTCGATTGGTCAGAGGTAACCGACGACGACGAACTAGGAGACGTACCTGAGTTCCCCGTACTAAAGCCCAGTCCAACGGCTAGTGAAAGTAAACCCGAAATCAGTAAAGATAGCTCTGAGAAAAGTAAAGAAAGCAACCAACCTAAACTCAGATCACTGACGGATCACCTGCTCGACTGGACAGACTTTGATGAGGAGATGGCAGAGCTCAACCGGCCAGGGGAGAACGAGTCCGATGAATCCCTCCGTCGTCTATGGGATGACGATAACCGAGCAGGATCCATTAGGATCCAAAACTTTGCACTTAAAGGTTTTAGAAAATCTGCCAAAGAAGATTACGCGCAAAAGTGTGAGGAAGTCGACGACTTACTCGACCGTGTCAAGGAGCTCGAGAGGCTGGTTATCGAGGCACAGTCTAGGGAAGAAATGGCGCAGAAGCTGATCCGAGAGGCGCAACGCGCGCCTCTTCCAGATCCGCCCCCAGACAGCGCACCTTCAGCGCCAGTTCCCCCATTAGAGAATGCTGCGAACTTGAATGAACGACGTCACGCAACGGTGATAAACGATGACTCACCAAGCATAAGAGAACCTACTGATAGACCTGTCAAAGAGAACACCAGGTTCTGGAGGGCGTCTTCCCTCCTCCCAGACAAAAGCTCGGTCAAACGCGCTATAGTTGGTGGTGACCCCAGTGATCCTGACTCGTCAGACTCGCCGTCGGGACCTGGTTCTGACGACGACCGGTCATCCACTGAATCTGCCAACGAAGAAATGAGGCACACCAGCAAGGACAAGAAAAGATTGAAGACACTTACGCGTGATAAGCAGCTACGCAAAGACAAGAGGAAATCGAGGACACCTCCCAAGTTCATTACCGGTGCAGACTCAGAGGAGGAATCCTCGGATGAATTCAACGTGAAGCTGCTGCAAATGGAGCCAGAATCAGACCATAGCAGCGACTCTGAGGACACCAAGCGCCTCAAACGAAAGGCCCGTCGCAAGCATAGGTCCAATTTGAACCTGCTAAAATATCAGCAAGGCTTCTTAAAGCATGAACCCCCGTTTACTTACAATGGGGAAGCTAACGCGTCCACTTTTAAGAAGTGGGTC